AGGAGTAAGTTGGCAGCAGGGATTTTCTAATCAAAATATATATAACCTGCCATTTATCCACCACTTGCCCTCTGGAAGGACCCCAAAATGCTTTCCTGGCTCAAGAAACCACCACCAACCCCCACTCAGCTGTGGGGAGGGGAAAAAAATCCCATTTTTTAGATATTTTCCCACTCAATCCCAGCTGCTTGGTGGATTTTCCCCCATCAATGGGGAAAAATCCTTTGTTTTTGCTTTAGCTCTCTTTTTTATCAATCCATCAATCTCTCAGAAGAAATAAACTTAATCTTATTTAATCTTGCATAGGAAAACCTCTGGGAATACAGAGCCATGCTGGCACTGATACTGATTCTTAATATATCCTCCTTGTCCCTATGGATTATTGATAAACCCCTTAATTATATTCTCCCATGTATTTATCTATTAGTTCTTGTGAAATTACATGCTTGTTTGTGTGTCTGAGGTCGTTTAAAATGCACGGTGGCTTCAAAAATAACATTGTTGTCTTGGTGTTGTAAATCTTATTATTGCCAGGAAAATCATGTGCACAGGTAAAAGGAGGAGTTGTCCTGTGAGTGAGGTACCAAAAATGGAGGGAAAAACAAGTTATACAGAAATCTTCCATGAGTTAAGAGTTAAAATTTGGGGAATTCTTTAATTTCATCCCAGTTTTGGCACAAGCATTGTTGGGTTTGGACAGACAGCTGTCTGTGGGGATGGTCCCTACGTGGCTTTTAAGGCTGCATTACTTGATGCTGAATTTTCTTCTCACTCCTTGAAACTTACTGCTGGACAGGGTTTGGAAAGGTGTAGGAAAATATTCCTATCTTAAATATCTCCTAAAAATTCCAAAATTTTAATGAGCGATTTGCTTTGCCCATCATGGCCAGATCCAAGGGTGGTGCCTGAGCCAGAGGGATGAAGGGCTGGTGGGTACCACTGGGACAATTTGGAGAAACACTCGGCCTAAAATAATCCTAAATTTTGTTTAGGGATTTCTCTGCAGCATCTTTTAACTCCTGAGGGGTTGGAGACCCTCCCTGTAATTTGGAAGGGACATTGCACTCCTCCAACCTGCTCCAATTTCCTTCAGGCTGAGCCAAGTGCTTAAGCCAGGCTCAGCCTCAAGGAAATGTCCCAAACCCCTGCCTTGTTTTGAACATCCATTTTTGAATAATTTACTCAGTTTTTTGCTCTTTTGCATCTTGCAGAGAATCCCATCACAGTTTTTCTTAGAGAAATCCGACACGAGCAATAATGCAATCTTGGAAAGAGAATTGAATTATTTATGGAGGAGCAGTGAAATGATGGAGACTAAACCTCTATATTTTATGTAATTTGTTTTCTCCTGAAGCCTGTTATGTAAAAATGTAAATATTGCTGGTTATGTGTGTCGCTGCTCTTGCCAAATGTTTAATATTTTATCAAACCTGCTCCCAGTGCTCGTCTCTTTTGGAAAGGACCCGTCCATGTCCTCTGGAATAAGTTCCAGTGAGTTTGTGGCAATTATAGATTTACAACACTGCAAAAAAATCTCCCTGAGGTGCCCATGCTCCAGCCTGGGGCATGGAAATAGCATAACCCCCAGAATTTGGGGGAATTTTAGTGGAAGTGGTTTAATTTCAGGGAGGTTTTCCAGCAATCTGGGTTGAGATTAGGATGGGAAAAGGTGTCTGAAGGTTTTCCTGGTTTTGGGGTCTGGACATCCCTTCCAGGGTGGGAAGAAATGAGCTGGTACCCAAACTCTCCTCAGGAGGGATGCAGCCCTGGAGATCTGGTTTGTGAGATGAGACCTGACAAAAAAAAAAAAATCACTCAGCAATGACCTGTTGCAGCAGAAAAATGCCTTTTCTTCTTTTTTTTTTTTTCCTCCTGGGGAAAAGAACTACTAGATCGAGTGTGAGAGAATTTTAATTTATCACCAAAAAAACTCCAACAAGCTCCCACGGCTGGGTGATGAAGTGGCCAATCCAAATGGGAAATGTATTTTTTTAACCAGGCATAATAATTGATGATAATTAACCTCTGGAAAAAACTCTCCAGGGAAGGAGCGGCTTTTTGCCTTTGTGAAGGAAAAATCTGGGCCTGCATACTTTCCCTGGAGTTTTAAAGTGAGATTCCAAAACGAGTGGAGGAGATGCTTTGGCAATTGGGGAAGATAAAGGAGGGATGCCCAAGGAGTGAATGTGGGATATTCAAGGATCAAATATGGGATGTTCAAGGACCAAATTTGGGACATTTAAGGATCAAAAGGGGAAATTCAAGGATCAAATGTGGGAAATTCAAGGATCATATGTGGGACATTCAAGGATCAGATGTGGGATATTCAAGGACCAAAAGTGGGATATTCAAGGATCAAATATGGGATGTTGGAGGGCCAAATTTGGGACATTCAAGGATAAAATGTGGGATATTCAAGGATTAGATGTGAGACTTTCAAGGATCAAATGTGGAAATTCAAGGATCAGATGTGGGAAATTCAAGGACCAAATTTGGGACATTCAAGGATCGGAGGTGGGAAATTCAAGGATCAGATGTGGGAAATTCAAGGACCAAATTTGGGACATTCAAGGATCGGAGGTGGGAAATTCAAGGATCAGATGTGGGAAATTCAAGGATCAGATGTGGGAAATTCAAGGATCAGATGTGGGAAATTCAAGGATCAGATGTGGGATATTCAAGAACCAAAAGTGGGATATTCAAGGATCGAATATGGGATCTTCAAGGATCAAAAGTGGGAAATTCAAGGATCAAATGTGGGACATTCAAGGATCAGATGTGGGATGTCCAAGGACCAAAAGTGGGATATTCAAAGATCAAATGTGGGATGTTCGAGGATCAAACGTGGGATCCTTGAGGAATGGATTTGGGATGCTTGAGGAACGAATGTGAGGAGCTTGTTGCTGCTGGCTCCAGAAGAAAGATCCCTGCACCACGAGAACCCTAAAATTTTGAGCTCTTGGATATTTTTGGCAATGGTGTAGCTTAAAATACACCCCACATGTGCCTGCTCTTTTACATCCCTGTTTTCCAAGATGAGACGTGAGGAAGATGAGATGCCAAGTGTGGATGATCCAGTGGTCCTTTGATATCACAGTGATGGCTTTTCCATCTGCCTCCCCTCCTCTCTTCCTTTCCACTTCTCCAGCTTCTGCAAAACCCAAAATATTTTCTGTCTGGCATCCCCAGCTGGTTGAAACAACCGGCGACAGCTTTATGGCTCCTCATCTTTGCTCGCTTCTGTGGAATAGTAATAAGGGAGGGGAAAAACGTCCTGCTGGCTGATTTACAAGGCAAGAAATTCCTATAAATCATTCCAACATCTCCCAAGGACTGGGGGGATGCTCTGAGTTCCTGCTGGTTTTCTCAGTGATGCAATGCAGTGATTTTTTTTTTATTATTTCTTTTTGGAGGGGAGTGGGTGAGATTCATCCCAACCAGGCACTGCATTTCTCTGTGATTTTATTGATGGATTCCAAGTGGGAGCCATCTATTTTCCCTTGCTCTTCATTGGCCAACCCAAAGGACATCAGTGTGTGTTTAGAGCCTGCTCCCAAGTAGGAAGCACAAACAGCGCAGCAAATATTTTCTGGATGGATTTATTTTTGGGATAAACTAGAAGGAGGGATTTAGGAATGTTGATTATTTTCAAGAGGTCATTTGTTCTGGAAAACTGTAGAAAAAATTTAAATTGTTTTGGATTCCTGGCCTTAAATTTAATTTGTTTGCCCACTTTTGCCCTTGCATCCCTGACCCCATGGCCATCCCTTACACACCATTTAGTGCCCCTGGCTGGCATCCCTCTGTAACTCTTTGGAGCCAGTTTTAACTTATTTCTTATCCCATTAACCTATTCCAAAGGAATTCTGGGGCTCTTTTGAGTGACTCTGACCCCCACCCAATATCTTTAGGGAATGGGCAGAAATTCAGCAGTTCTCGTTAAATCCATTCTTGATGGCGTTTTTCATTATGGAAGTGGATGGAAAATTGGGAGAAAAAAACTATGGCCAGACTGATCCAGAAAAATCTCTCCCTGTGGCTTTTGCAATAAAATATGGGAAAATTTGGCTGTGGGACCCAGTGTTCCCAATGATTCCAGGGAAATCTCATCTTCAGGTCTTTGGGAGAGAGATGGGCAGCTGATGTCTCATGCAGACAAAAATTTGGGTTGAGGATGCTCAGATAGGAGCCCCCCCAGATTGACAGTAATTAACAGATATTTCCAAAATAAGAGTGCTTTGCCTGGGGGATAACCCAGGAGGGGTTTGGGGTGGGATTTCACTGGGTACCCTGAATGTCAAAGTTGTGCTGGGGGGTGGACGGGTTTGGGACCCCCATGGGGGGCTTGATGGAGGGGGGACTCCGGGGTGGGAGTTGGGGTCACCAAGGCCACCAAGACTGGCTCTGAATCTGGGGTGGCAAAAGCATTCTGGGGGGAGGGAGCGTGGAGATATGGAAGGGAGAAGATGCAGTGGAGGGGCAATATGTGTTAGGGGGCAATACGTGTTGGGGGTCAGTATGTGCTAGGGGGAAATATGTTTTAGGGGGCAATATGTATGTGTTAGGGGTCAATGTGTGTGGGGGGGCAATATGTGTTAGGGGGCAATGTGTGTTGGGGCAATAAGTGGCGGGGTGCGGGGCAGCATATTTGGGAAATAAACCAGGGAGCGATGCTGCTGGGGAGGCAGGTGTGTTGCCGGGGATCTGGCAGAGGGCAGCAGGGGCAGGGCAGGCCGGGGGAGGCTCCGAGCGCTGTCCCGGGTACACCCGGGGGGTTCGGGGGGTCCGGGATCGGGGGGCGGCTCCGTTCGGGGCGGGGGGCGCAGCGGCGCCGGCCGGCAGGGGGCGCTAAGGGGAGGACGGAGGGGGCGTGGCCGGGGGCGTGGCCAAACGGCGGGGAGGGCTCGTAGGGGGCGTGGCTCGGCGTGGGGGGCGTGTCGCTGCGGGCGGTGGGCGGGGCCTGTCGGCGGCGGCGCGGCGGGGCCGGGCGGGCGGGCGGGCGGCGAGCGGCGGCCGCGCTGTCAGGCCGGTGTCGGTGTGATGAAGATTGGCGGGCAGGTAGGGCTGTCACTCACGGCGGGGCCGCCGCGCGGGGGCGGGCGGAGCCGCGGAGCCCGGCGGACAAAGCGGCGCGGGCGGCGGGGCACGTGCGGCGGCGGCGGCGGGGACACCCCCCACCCCCCATCCCCTCCGGTGTGGGAAGTAACTTGCCGTTCCCGCCGCCTCCCCGGCCGTGCGGGGCCGGGGCAGCGCGGCTGTCCGTGCCCGGTGTCCGGTTCCCCCTGCGGGCTGCCCTCCGGCCGCGCCGCTGCGGTTCTCCGCCGTGCCCCCCTCGGCCGGGCGCGGTGTTTTTGGGGGCACGCAGCGATCGGGGCGGGCTGCACCCCCCGCTCCCCATCCCCCGGCCGGCTGCGGCCATGCGGGGGGGTCCGGTGCCTGCGGGTCGCGCACCCCCAGCCCGAAGGCTGCAGCCCCCCCATGCAAGTTGCAGCCGCCGCTCGCAGAGCCGGGAGGCTGGCGGGGCTTTTCGGGGGGCCGTACCCCATGGCCGCTGCAGCCTCCTCCCGCCTGCCGTGCTTGCAGCGGGGCTGCGACCCCCGGCCGGCTGCAGACCCCCTTCCCTCCCAGCGCCCCCCCGGGGGTCGCAGCCCCAGCCGTGAGCGGGGCCGGCCGCGGAGCCCCGAGCGCGGGGAGCGCTCCCGGCGGGGCTGCCCCGGCCCTCGGGCCGCTCGCTGAGCGCTCCCCGGGGGCTGCAGCCGCCCGGCCCCTTGCGAACCTCATCCCCTCAGCCCTCTCCCGGGGATGCCAGCTCCCCTCAGCTGGTCACGACCCCCAGGGACGGCTGGAGCCCCTTCAGCTGCCCACAGCTCCTCGGGGAGGGCTGGAGCCCCCCTAGCTGACCACGACCCCCGTGGAGGGCTGGAGCTCCCTTAGTTGGCCACGGCTCCCGGGAGGGCTGGAGCCCCCCATAGCTGGTCACGACCCCTGGGTAGGGCTGGAGCCCCCCAGCTGGTCACGGAGCCCTCTCAGAGGGCTGGAGCCCCCCTAGCTGGTCATGGCCCTCGGGAGGGCTGGAGCCCCCTCAGCTGGCCCCGGGGATGCCAGTCCCCCTCAGCCGGTCACGGCCCCCGGGAGGGCTGGAGCCCCCGGCCCGGGGCGTTCGGTGCCCGGGAAGTTGCCCCGATCAGGGTGCCTGGGGGGCTGCAGCGGGCGGTGCTGGGGGCGTTTCGTTTATCTGCAGCATCCCGGCCGTGCAAAGCACCCGGTGAGCTCGGGGTGGCCCCCGGGACAGCGCTGGGCCGGGGGACAGCGGCGCCGCCCCGCAGGGCCTCCCTCAGGCGGGCTCGCCGCCCGTGCCCGAGCGTGGCCCTGGCAGCAATGCCGCATCCCGCCGGCTCTCCCGGGACAAACCCCCCGTGCCCCCCGACATCCCCCGGTGCCGCCTTCTCCTGGGGCGCCCCAATTCCCCCAGGGCACCCCCTTCCCCCTGGAACCCTCCGCGGGACCCCTGGGCAGCTCCCCCCATCCCACAGCGTTGCATGAATACTCCAGAAATCCCTTTTAGTGGCTCTGCAGCAATGCAGGGAGGGCTTCTACATCATAATAACCATCATCATAATAATAATTATGATTTGAAATTTATCCTGCAATTTTTTGTTGCATTTCCGTCTGCGGGAGGGTGGCTCCGCCGGTGGCATTGTGCAACTCGGGGAAGTTTTGCCGAGCTTTTGGGGTGTCCCTCCTCTTCATCCCAGCCCTCGCCAGGTGTCCAAGCTCAACTTGGGCTCGGGCTCTTTGTTTGGGCTCTTCCCGGTTTTTCTCGCTCCCAAGGATCTTTTTTCCCACTATCTCGCCGCCCACCGGGTAACGGGAAACCCTAAACCCGGCAGGATATTTTCAAACTCCCAGCCGGGGAGATTAGATGGAGGAAAGGGGGGGGATGGATTATTTTTGGCTGGGATGCGGGACAGCTGTCTGCCGGGGAGAAGCAGAAAATAGAAGAGGAAATGGCTTAATTTGGCTTTTTTCAACTTATTTGGCTTTTAAATCCTGGAAGGTTTTGGGGTTGGAGTGGGGGAAAGCAGAGTGTGGCTCAGAGGACGTGGATTTGATGAAACTTTTGGACATCATGCCTCCAAAACTGCTGACTCGGTGTGGCTGGCATCATCCCCTTGTGGAAAAGTGGGGAAAAAAACACCCCAAAACCTTTGGGGTCTGATATTTGGGGGGCTTTTCCCAACCTCATGTGGATGGGGAGAGGGATTTGTGTGAATTAATTGGATTTTGGGAGATTTGGGTAGAAAAAGCAGCGCCTTGTTTGGGTTTAAGCTGTATGGAGCAGGCGGATGATGGGATCAGGATTCCCCCTTATTTTTTTTTTCCCCTCCTCCCTTCTGTTTTATTTAACTCCCTGCACTGAGATTCCTTCGTTAGGAGCAAAAGTTAATTGCTTGAGGCTAATTACAGGAGAGGTTAATAGGGGAGCTGGCAGTGTCAGGAAGGGAAGGAGATGCTCTGTTCCTTAGCATCCCAAAATTGGCCTTTTTAAGGTATTTCGCAACCCTTGCCCCCCAAAGCCAGCCCCTAAACCCCTTCACTTTAACCTGAGATCTTGGTAATATTAGATATTTATTTATAAATAACATTAAACTCTCCCTGATATCATGGAGTGATGGAAAAAACAGGGAGAAAAGTGATGCTGAGTTTATCCACTGGAATATATTCCATTTTCCCTCCATCGTTTTTGGGAGGGGGGAAATAAAGGAAACATCATTTTTTATGGAAATTTCCCTTACTTTTAGGAAATTTCTTTTTTTCAAAAAGTTATGTCTTTTTAAGGCAAAATTTGTTGTTTTATTTTTTTTTTTAAGGGAAAAGTGGTTTTTTTTATGGAAGTCACCTTTTTTTTAAGGAAATCTCACATTTTCTCCTTAAGGTTTTTTTTTTTTTAAAGGAAATCTCATCTTTTGGATTAAATGCATGAAATTCTGTTGGGAGAAGAGTGTTTTACCCCTCTGGCACGTCAGGAATAACTCTTGTTCCAACTCAAGGATAAAACAAGACCCTCATGGGGCAGCTTTGGATTTTGGCTTTTCCAGGGAACTTCTGAATTTTTGTATTTTTTCCAAGTTGATGAATATCACCTATAAATTTCTGAGTGATAACAGGGTTTTTATCCTCACACAAAACTTAACTATTGATTTGGTCCTGCTGGGAAGAGCATCCTTCATCCATCCATCCTCATCCTCAGGGGTGCAGGATGCACCTCTGGTTCCATCATCATCCTGGTTGGGTTTGTGGGATGGATTTTTGGGATATTTCCTGAAATCATGGAGAAAATGACCCTGGGCTGCTGGGACACCCCAGTTTGGTGTGATTTTCTGAGAGCTGCTGTGGCTTGGAGGGGTCAGTGAGATGAGGAAAGGGGATGGGATGGATGGGATGGGAAGGGAAGGGATGGGAAGGGAAGGGATGGGATGGGATGGGATGGGATGGGTGGGATGGGATGGGAAGGGAAGGGATGGGATGGGATGGATGGGATGGGATGGATGGGATGGGATGGGAAGGGATGGGATGGATGGGAAGGGAAGGGATGGGATGGGATGGGATGGGATGGATGGGATGGGATGGGATGGGATGGGATGGGATGGATGGGAAGGGAAGGGATGGGATGGGATGGGATGGGATGGGAAGGGATGGGATGGGATGGATGGGAAGGGAAGGGATGGGATGGGATGGATGGGATGGGATGGATGGGAAGGGAAGGGATGGGATGGGATGGGAAGGGATGGGATGGATGGGATGGGATGGGATGGATGGGATGGGAAGGGATGGGATGGGATGGATGGGATGGGATGGGAAGGGATGGATGGGAAGGGATGGGATGGGATGGATGGGATGGGATGGATGGGATGGGATGGATGGGATGGGGAGGGAAGGGATGGATGGGATGGGAAGGGTGCAAGGAGCACAGCCCACACTTCCTAAAGCCAGGAGGAAACTTTGGCCACTCTGAGGGATAAACTAAGGGAGATTTGGCATCTGCAGCCCTGGTGGAAAGCCAGATCAAGCATCAGGATCATCTTTGTTTTAGGCTGATACATCCCAGCATCCTGTCCCCACTTATTCCCCATCCTCACCTCACTGCAGCACGTGAAAATCTGATTTTTTGGGCTGCTAGTGGGATAATTTACAGGACCCAGACAATTCCCAGTTCCATTTAACATCCATGCACTTGATTCCCAAACAATTTTTGCCCCCACCAAAGAGGGTGTTAACAAATGCCCTCTAATTAGCCCCAAAATAAATGAATTCCCAGCGTCATTAGCCAGATCATTAAGATGCCGGCTCCAAAGAAGAATCCGGAAGGGTGGGAATTAATCCTCAATTAAATTTAAACTCGGCTTTATCTCTGCCCTCAGCCTTGACAGGACTGGGGGGTGCTGCAGGTGATGCCCATGGGCAAACCCTGATCCCAGGGGGGTGAGGCTGCCTTTGCCCAGCTGTGCTTTGCAGCTGGATAAATAAGAGGGGAATTTGGCCTCAGTGCTTCCCAACTGCTTGATTGTATCTTATTTTTTTGGCTTTTCCTCTTCCAAGCAGGAACACAAACCCTGGGTAGTCCCAACTCTGGTTATTTGGTGTTTGTGAAATAGTTGAGTTGCAAAAGACCTTGAAATCCACCACTAAACCACTTCCCAAAGCACCATGTCCACAATATTTAAAAATTATTTACTTATTATTTTATTTTAATTTAATTTTAATTTAACTCCATTGGGTCCAGCTGTGAAGTCCACCACTAAACCACTTCCCAAAGCACCATGTCCACAATATTTAAAAATTATTTACTTATTATTTTATTTTAATTTAAATTTTATCTTATTTACTTTTTTGGTTTGTTTTCTTTTTTATTAGTTCATCTTATTTAATTTTTTGATTTCTGTTCTTTTTATTTCGGATTAACTGGTTTAGTTAATAAGCACTTAGCGAGCTCGGGGTGCTCATTATTGTTTTATTTTATTATTGTTTTATTTTATCTTATTGTTTTATTTTATTAT